TGCAACGGAAAATTTGCCAATTCTAGAAAGATTTATATTATCCAAAGAAATAGGAGAAATAGGCGAGATGAAATGTAGGAGCTTATTAAAGTTGATTTTATCAGCATCACAGTCAAAATGAGAATCTTTAATAGCTTTAGGAAAACCAAAAATTATCAGGTTAGATTTAGCTTTAAGACGTAGTTCCCACTCAGATAAAAGGTACTCACTTGAAAGAGAATTTTCTGGAATACTGTGTTGCATTTCGTCAACCTTTATCTCGACGACGTCAAGGCGCTCAGTTACAGTAGCGAGATTTTGTTCAACATTAGTGACTCTTAGACCAAAATCATGTATGTCATTTTGTAACGTAGATAGGGCATCTTGATTTTTTTTAAAACCTTTAGAGACTTGAGTTGCCAGTGATTTAATTTCATTGGAAAGAGACAACATGAGATCCGAAGTAGGAGAAGGTGATCTTGATTGTGATGGACCACAACATTTCAAAAAACCACCGTTTTCAGCATAAGGTGTTTTTTTTGCACAGCTAGGATGATAAGGGGCTTTGCACACTGGACAGAAAATTGGGTTGACAACCTCGACGTTACATATACGGCATGCTTTATTGTCTATAGTAAGCAAAAGATTGTCAACTTTAGGTGGCATCGTGATACACAATCGAAAAAGACTATAGGATAAATAGAAACACAGAGTGAGTCAGCCAAGATTGTATCTATAGTTGTATGTGTATATGATATAATATATTCTAACGAGAAATATATATACCACAATGTGAAAATCCAAAAAAAAACACGAAATTGGATTAAATTTCGGTGTTTCGCCACAAAAAAAACAAATTGATAGTGCACAAGATTGATATGATCACGAAACTTCACTTTTTCACTTTAAAGATTTGAGAAAAGATACAATAAACATGAAAATAACTGAGAGCTCAAGGAAACACGTGTACTTAGTTGGTCGCCATTTTTTTGGCGAATAAAAAATTACATAATATATTAATAATCCCCGGATTGAGAGCTTATGAATGCTTCAATGTTGATATTTTAAAAGATCGAATCTCGAAGCTCAGAAAAATTCCGTTAAGACGATCTAAATTTAAAATTGATGACAAAGTGCGAGTTAGCAAATATAAAAATATTTTCGAAAAAGGTTATACTCCTAATTGGACTACTGAAATATTTACAATTGATAAATTGATATCAAGGATTACCAAGATCAACGCATCAGTGGAGGATTCTATGAAGAGGAGCTTCTAAAAGTGTAAAATTCAGACATTTATCTTGTTAAGAAAATTCTCAGGACACGTGGAAACAAAGTTCTTGTCAAGTGGCTTGGTTTCGATAACTCTCACAACACTTGGGAAGACAAAGCAAATGTATAATTTATAGTTAATGTTGAATCAATGTTGAATCAATGTTAAATCAATGTTAAATCAATGTTGAATCAATGTTGAATCAATGTTGAATCAATGTTGAATCAATGTTGAATCAATGTTGAATCAATGTTGAATCAATGTTGAATCAATGTTGAATCAATGTTGAATCAATGTTGAATCAGTGTTGAATCAGTGTTGAATCAGTGTTGAATCAGTGTTGAATCAGTGTTGAATCAATGTTGAATCAATGTTGAATCAATGTTGAATCAATGTTGAATCAATGTTGAATCAATGTTGAATCAATGTTGAATCAATGTTGAATCAATGTTGAATCAATGTTGAATCAATGTTGAATCAATGTTGAATCAATGTTGAATCAATGTTGAATCAATGTGGAATCAATGTTGAATCAATGTTAAATCAATGTTAAATCAATGTTGAATCAATGTTGAATCAATGTTAAATCAATGTTATAATGTATATATGTAAGGAATTTTTAAATAAAAAAACACATGAAATTAAAATACAATTGTTCTATTTATTTCTTTTATCACAGCCTTTACATTTCCTGACATTTTTTCTCGATCTTATCAACTATTTACAAATCGTCGAGATTTGGGATCGCATAGTGACCCCACGGTAGAGTATCAGTACTCCCCGGTAACAAATACCGCTTGTCGTCTTGCGGACTTAAAGATACTTTTACCTGCTTCACAGTTTCAAGAATGTGAAGCCGCGATCGAATATTATATTGTGTTCGAGTTTGAATGTCAAAATCTCGCAGACATTTTACATAATCATCAAATTGAATTGTCTTTTTAACAACGCCGGCTTTAACACCTTTAGCTTTTTTAATAAAATCTTTATCTTCGACGCGTACACTGTACATCTTACTCCGCAAGCCAACAAATTCAGTTACAATTCTGCCGTTGCACTCATCTTTCATGAGGCCGATGACTTTTTTGTTGACTTGCGGAATATCATAAACGTTATTCGCGGGATAATCAGATGTATCAAACTTGTCAATATCTTTTTTCATGTCTTTGTAAATATCTTCATACTTGATTTCGTAGATAAGACTGTCTGTATCGGTATACAGCAGTTTACAAGCATCGCCGTTTTTTTTAACATGTGACCATAATGGAAATCGTAAATTAACGTCTTAGATATATCAATCACACTTAACCCTACATAGATTGGTTTGTTGAGCAGTACCTCGACTTTGCGCAACTCAATAGCAACCAGATCTTCGTCGAAAATCGCTCGACTTTTGAAATTTGGGCGAGAGATTAGAGCTTCAGCTCCATAGCGGCCGAACCATTTTGTGACGAGTTTAATGTCAACATGTTTGCGGACATTTTCCATCGTCTTGCCGTACACTACATTGTTCATAAGCTTAAACAAATTCTTTTCGAACTCATTTTTAGCATTGGTTCGCATCATTGTGTTATAGTCGATGTACGGTTTAAGCCAGGTTGATTGCTTAAACTGCAAGACACGGTGGATTTTCACAATATTAATATCGTTTTCCACAACTTGTTTTTGTGTACGATAATGAATAACATATTTTTCTTTAGGCATGAGAGTGGTTAACAATTTCTCCTGTTTAGACAATGGAGGTTTCTTATTTTCAGCGCAGAATGGCATGTCTTTATGAGTATCATGAATGTCTTTCGGATACTCCAAATCAACTTCCAGGATGTACCCAACAGGGGAATCGTCAGGTACATGAAAATTAAAAGAGTGGCGTTGAAATACTTCAGTCTTACTCAAATTGTTTAAATCTTCATCAGCTGGAAGAAGTAAACTTTCACAGTCGGCGTAAATCACATACGGTACTTTCTCTCTATTTTTATAGTTTTTGAACTTGATAATACTGTCTTTCGGCTTCGGTAGAGTTATTTTACACTCATTCACTTTCTTACAATCTTTAATGTGTGCATTAAGTTTTTCTACAGAATAGAAATAGTGTAGACATCTATCACAGATATGCTTTTTACCTTTATGATTTGACAATTGTTTGAATACTAGCGCAGGTAAATTTTTTATCCATACATAATGGAAATTCAAAAAATCACCACCATCGCATATTACATTTTCTTCATCACTCTCATCCGCATACATATCCGCAACTTATAAGAGATTTACATGTTTATCTCTTTTCTCCACAGTGAGGTGAAGAGGATGTACTGAGAAGTCCCCGTAATATTTTGATAAACCATAGACATTAATCGAAACATCGTTTAATTTTTCAAATTTCGGGACATTTTTTAGTGATACTGGAAAATCTATACCTTCGAAATTCAAGTCATCTTTAAATTCTTTATAACTGGAAACTCGATCACTTCTAACTACATTTGAATGTAAGGCTGAGAGAACCGCCCACTTAAAACATTTATTATCTTCATTTTTCACGTTAATACATGCTTGTTTTCTTTTAATTTATGGAGGTAGATCAGTATATGAGCTTGCACGCAAAGGGTTGTACTTGTTTACATTAATTTCAAGTCTTATAATTGATTGGAGATTCCAATTCCAATTTGAAGATTGGCTGCTTAATGTTCTCATTGAACCAATCATCTAAGAAAGTGGTGGGGAAAATACTTTTAGTCTTAGAGCCAAAAGGTATAGGCTTAACGACCTCCTCACCATTCTCAACCCTTTTAAAATGTGCGATGAGAATACCATACACCAAAATGACGCCATGTTTGTTTAGAGCACCTCTAATGTGATCCTGGAAAAGTGTGGACGCATCGTCCAAAAACGCGCTAATATCAATATGTACAAGATTCAGGACTGCATTGGTGAACAATCTACACGCAAATGCACTCTCACACTCTTCCCAGCGCACACGATTATTAATGTCTGGGTCACGGATTCCAGCGCCATCTACAATGTGAGACTCGAATATCGCGCGAAATCTAATGATGGATTGCAGAATGCTCACAGATCTCTGCTTTTGATGTGTAAAATACATCGATTTAAGGATGCTCGACAACAGATTTTCATGTCTCGAGCATTCTGCAATCCATCGCTCGATGAATACACGTCTTGAGTTGACGTCTCTGAGGAGAGGCACCAGCTCCAGAGCTTACTTGATTAGTGGAATCGTGACGTCACACTCGTCAAGGATGGTTTTGTAGTTCGGTTGCTTGCGCGGTCCCTCGGTGGTTGTGGCCTTCCGCTTCATCTCTACGCTTGAAATCAAACTTACAAGCTATCAAACTTAACCTAAAAGCGCAAACTTAAAATTAAAATACTTAACCTAGAAAAGAACACACTTAACCTAAGAAATATAGAAAATAAATACGATAAACACAAAAAATACAATAAATATCAAAAAATACAATAAATATCAAAAATACAATAAAAATCAAAAAAATTTCAAATAATACAATAAATATCAAAAAGACAATTAGTAAATGGCAAGGGCGACTGCTGCTGCTGGAACACCTGCGAACAGAAGAGAGAATGACTAAATTCGCTCGCGATCTTGAATATATACCCGAAATTTATTCGCGCATGCGCACTAGAACTTTTACCCCAACCCCTACTTTTTACACACCCCCACTCTTACATTTGCTCCCACCTATTCACGCATGCGTAAAATAAACATATACCGATATACAAAATAAACACGTTTATTAAAAAATTAAAAATTAATAAAAATATTAATATTAATGGCGGCGATGACGTCTTCGTCGTTGCCTTCTCTCTGGGCCGGGTGGTGGTCTCGGTGACCTTGGTGGGGGTGTTGGCGCCCTGGCCTCTGGTGGAGCTGTCGGCACCCTGACCTCCGGTAGAGGTGTTGGCGCCCTGACCTCCTGTGCCCGGACCCTTGGCCTCACGACAGTCACCGGTCTTATTGGAGCCTTTGGAGATGATGGTAGAGGCCCCTGCTCCACTCAGGATGGTGGCGTTTCTGGCCTGTGCAAGGGATACCTGGGTGGAGTCCCCGGTGGCGTCGTCGGGAACGGCACCTCATCGTTAGGATTCTGCAACTAAAAATCGAAATAAGCATCACTGAATTAAAATTTATTAACCAGGAATACTTACGTTGTGCACCGACACCCTCATCACATGGCACTGGTAACAATCGCAGCTCTCCATGTTCGACCTCTCTGAATCGCTCTGTCGCTGCGAATGAGCTACTGCCGCTGAGCTCGTAAGCTTAAAGGCTTCTACTCCCACCACACACTCTTACCCCACTACGCGCTACACAACTATCGGTGAAAGAGCAGAACTATTATGATTCAAACTCACCGTCGGTAACGCGGTTAATTTAATTTGAATGAAAAATTTTATACTGTATTACTATCATAATTAAAGATAACAATAGAATAAATAAATGGAAAAAGTAAAAAAAGAAAATTTATTCAACTTACCTTAATAAATCAATAAACAAATACTAATTTTATTATGCAAAAATAAATTTAAGAATAAATAAAACATGATAAATAACTTAAAAATTAATTTTAATGTTTATGTTATATTGCAATACTACATTTCCATTCTCTTAACCCTTTGCCGGTGATATGTTACGAAATGTCGTTTAGAGTCCTTTCTGGGGGAACAGCCAATAAGAAACTTCGATGTGCTTGTGTTAGTGAATTAGCTTTGTGTGAGACTGTTAGTGTCTAAATTTTCAGGACCGTACATAGATGAAAATAAACCCAATAATATTTTACAATAAATTATATTAATAAAATATATTTTATAACTAAAATTCTGAATTTTTATATAAAGGGCAAAAATGTGAAACTATTGTTCAATAATAGTAAGGTAAGTTTGTTTGTTCAAGACTTTTATCACATCTAAATAACCTATGTAAACATAACCTAATTCAAAATGACATTTTACCGGCCGGCTTTGTAAAAACATTCTCGAAAATTAAAAAAATGAGATAAAATAATAGATTATTTTTATACATTTTAAAAGGAAAAGGAAACTAAAGGTAATGTTTACTGTTCGTACATTTATTTAATAAATAAATTTTCTGTTATACTAATAATATTTTATCTCAAGTACGATATGTTTTTTTACGAATTAGTTGAATGTGTGCATAAGTATCAGTATATGTACCCATTTTTTACAGAATTATTATATCGAGAAAATATATTATTATTATTATAATTATTATATTGAGAATTATTTAAATATTGCAGACGATGTTAATAATTTAATGAAATTACTCTCTAAATCTGAATAAGTGGAATTTCACTTAGAATGTTTCAAAAGTCTTCCACGTAGAAAAATAAGTGATTTTCTCTCAAAAATAAGTGAAGTTTCACTTATTTTCAAGTGTATATAAACTTATTTTTCTACGTGGAAGACTTTTGAAACATTCTAAGTGAAATTCCACTTATTCAGATTTAGAGAGTAAAATATAAATTGTCACCTAAAAACTTAAAAAATATTGGGAAAATGGAAAACGCCAAAAAGTCAAATGCACGAATATCAGGTAAAATATTTTATTAAAAAAAACTTTTTTTAAAATAAAATTTTGAAAGTAAAATAAATTTTCTTTAAATACAGATCAGCCAAAGATTAAAAAGTCTCCTGCTTCAAAAATAAAAATTGATAATATCGAAAATTTAATGGGAAATGTTGAGAAAGACAGAGAACCATCAAGAAAAAAAAATCGGAATAAAAATACATTAGTACAACAAAATGAAAATGACGATTCAATAAAAAATAATAGGATTTTAAGAAATAGAATAAATATTCCAGTACAGCAAAGTGAAAATGATTTAATAAAAAATAAAAGGACTTCAAGAAATCGAACAATTAATTTACAAACTGAGAGGGAAATTGAAAATATTCCACCAAATGTAAAAAATTCTGAAAAGGTTTCTACGGCTGTAAAAAAAGTTGCCAAAAAACGGGCAGCAACGAATTCCACAGTAAAAGAAAATTCATGCCAGAAGAATAAGAAACGAAAGATATCCACCGAAAGAAAGGAAAATAAAAAAAATATCGAAAAAAACTCAAATTACACGTTTACAGAAGAACTGAATGAAATTCATATCGATCCGTTTACAGAACCCATCGGTCCTAATCACGAATTACCCGTCGGTAGCAGTGAACTTGATTTTTTCAAATTATTTATTGGCGAAGAAACGTACAATTTACTTGCTAAGGAGACAAACGCATATGCTGCTTACTTAGAAAGATCTACAGATAATAAGTGTACTGATTGGGTAGATGTTACTACCACTGACATGCAAATTTATATAGCCATTTTAATTTATATGGGAATTGTGGACTTGCCGGAGATTGGAATGTATTTTAATACAGATTTTGTGGAATGTCCTTTAGTAAGAAATGCCATGACGTATGGACGATTTAAATTAATTTCTAAATATCTTCACTGTAGTGACTCAGAAAACGTTCCAGAATATGGAAGTTCAAATTACGATTATTTGCATAAAGTGAGACCATTTTTGAATTTAACTGATAAATTTCGAGAACACTTTAATCCCGGACGTGACCTTGCAGTAGATGAGGCAATGATAGGTTTCAAAGGCCGCCTTTCAATCAAGCAATATATGGCTAAAAAACCTACTAAATGGGGTATAAAAGTGTGGTCCATAGCTGACAGTTTAACGGGATATATTTTACGTATGAAAGTATATTTGGGAAAAAAAGAAGCGTTAAATTCTGATTTACTCTTAGGCGAGCAAGTCGTACTAGATATGTGTGAACCCTTTGAGGATCGTTGTCATCATGTCTACATGGATAATTTTTTTTCTTCTGTGCCACTCATGGAAATGTTATCAGAAAAAGAAATTTATGCTTGCGGTACAATTCGCGCAGACAGAAAACATTGGCCAGCAGAATTGAAGCCAAAACGTAGTTATTATCCTGTCGTTCGAAAAGCAAAAAAATGGTGGAAATACATTGTTCGCTTTATTATTGATGTTGCCATCGTAAATAGTTATATTTTATTCGATTTAACAAATAAGCCACATCAAACCAAAAAAGGAGTAACGCAACTTGCATTTCGTATGGCCCTTGTTAAGCAATTAATCGGAAATCGAACAACGCGAATTCAAAAGATTGCAAATAATTTCAACAAAACTGAAAGTGACGTTTTAGATGATCCATCGGCTCATGTGTTACAAAAGACAAGCGAACGAAAAATTTGTGTTTTATGTAATAAAAACATGCAAAGAACTCCTTCTGGATATTACATCAGATCGTTATGGAAATGTAACCGATGTCAAGTTGGATTATGTAAAAAAGACTGTTTTTTGAACTACCATAGACAAAAAAATGCAATAAGCTGTAATTGATCGACCCAGATCACGTTTTATATATTTTCAAGAGTCTATGAGAACTTTATAAAAAATTAAGTTTTAACAAAAATTTTAAGACTTTAAAGATTATATTTAAGAATTTTTATTTTGTTATTTAATTTCTAATGTAATAAACTTACGTTGTTAATAGCAAAAATTTTAAACATTAATATGCAGTTAATATTGTAATAATTCTTCTATAAATAAAATTTATGAAATATATTTAGGTTATTTAATATTTCAAGTTGATTTTTAGCACTTTTTTAAATAAATGCTTATTAAAATATTTTAGAAAATTGAAATTTTTGTTTGTGTGTTTTTTTACGTAAAAAAATTCTTATCAAAATTATTTATATCAAAAACGATAAAGAATAAATCTGAAATTTTTTATTATAATCATTCACTAATATTTCACAAATGAAATAAGAGAAAGAATTGTAAAAATTAAAAAATTCATGAAAAATCTTTTCAACATGTTTATACTATCAATAAGAACCCACTAAATATAATTCTATTACGGCCCTGATTGTGCCCACGTGAATCCACTGTCAAACCGCCCGCTTCTTAGGTGGGGATAGCTTATAGACGGCAAAGGGTTAATTAATTCAATAACACTATAAAGATATCATTAATTTATAATAATGCTTATTTTTATTCTTCATTTGTTTTTATTTTCATATGTAAATGATTACAAATTTATGTAATACTTCTTCGTGTAACATATAAAAGTATAAAAATAATGTTATAAAACGTTTACAAAAACATAACAAAAAAAATTTTTTTTACATGAAGAAAACAGTTGAAAAACCTATTATATTGTGAGATCAATTTATAAACACTTTAAAACTAATGAAAATATAAAAAGAAAACAGATAGAGCAAATTGATTAGACTAAAAGAACTGTAAAAGAAAGTGAGATTATTGATTGAGAAAATTGATTAGACTAAACATATTTTTTGACAGGTTAGGTTATAAATATTGTAGAAAAGTAATTAATACTAAATGATTAAATTGATGATTAAAATTTATTTTTTGACAAGATAGAAAAATAAAACTAACAAAGCAGATTGATTACAGTAAGAAAATCTCTTTGAGAGGTTAGGTTAAAAATATTGTAGAAAAATAGTAAATATTAAATGATTAAATTGATAAAGATTAAACATATTTTTTGACAGGTTATAAAATATAAAAAGAAAACAGACAGAGCAAATTAATTAGACTAAAAGAACTGTGAAAGAAAGTGAGATTATTGATTGAGAAAATTGATTAGACTAAACATATTTTTTGACAGGTTATTAAATATAAAAAGAAAACATACAGAGCAAATTGTTTGCAGTAAGAAAATCTCTTTGAGAGGTTAGGTTATAAATATTGTAGAAAAGTAATTAATACTAAATGATTAAATTGATAATGATTAAAATTTATTTAACACTTACAACTCTTGGCTGCATGCGCTGGAATCTGCAATTTTGTGCATTACAATAGCATCGCACATTCATTTGGTTAGTGTCCTATTTAGGAAAGAGTATAAAAATTAATGTTGAATTGTACAATTAGTATTGAAAATATTTATTACTTACCATTATTATAATGAAAAACTTATAATAAGACGTTGCAACCCTGGCGGATTCGATTTACCTAAAATCGACCCAGCTGGGTCGAATCTAAGTCGAATCTAAGTCGAATTTAGGTAATTATCAAAAAAAGCTTTAAATTGATGAAAATTTATAAAAATTAGTATTGTGAGGTTAAATGAACATTCATAGAGTTAATTTTTGTAAGAATTTTAATTATTAACGTGATAAATAATAAATAATTACTTGATATGTGCAAG